ATTTGTCTCTCTCGTTGTCTCTCACATTGACTCTTGCTTGCTTGCTTCTCTTTTATTATTTGGTCTCTCTATTTTTTTCGTTTTATTCAATCTCTACTTCTCTCTTTCTCTCTTTCCCTCTATCTCTGTTAGAAAGCTCTCTCTTTCTGCCACTTTCCCTCTGATTGTCTCTTTCTCTTTCCCTGTAAGCCTTTGTTTTCCTCTCCCCATCTCTTACTATCTTTCTATCTCTCTCTATCCCGCACTCTCTTTAAATCGTTGCCCTTCTCTCTTCATCTCTTATAATGCTAATGTCTTTCTCTCCATTTTCCGTTCTCTTCTATCACATTTTTCCAATTTCTCCGTATTATTACCAAATACTTTACTTTTACTTCACTTTACTTTGCTAAGCTTTGATTTGAAATTTTCATCCGCTTTTGCCATATGTCTTAACCACTGTGCGCAGCATCTAAAAACTATGCAAAGTTTATGCGAATCTAAAATATTTGCACTGCACATGCGCATGCACTGCTAGCTCAATTGTTCAGATACATTTATATCTTAAATGCAGGCAAAACTGGGCGCTGCTTTGGCTGCTGCTTTGGCTGCTGCTGCTGCTGCTGCTGCTGCTGCACCCGCCGGCCTGCGTCACATTTGTAGTTGTTGTGTTAAGTTGGGAGTCCGAGTCGGGAGTGGAGAGTCGAAAAGCGTCTGGGGCTAAACCGTTTGCCGGCTGCTGCCTGATGCTATCAATTCAAAGTCAAATGGGGGGACAACAAAACAAATCGGCGCTGCATCTATAATGAGCCCCGTTCTGGCCATGCCACAGATCCCCATGCACCAGACCCAGAGCCGGGCCTAAGTTTGCGGCCCGAATCTCAATTGTTGGCCATATGGCTTTCGGGCCTTGGCCATGTTTTGCTTGAGCATGTGCTCATGGAGTTGTTGTTGTTGTTGTTGTTGTTGCACGATGTCTGACTAGGGACACCCACCCAATGCATGCACACACACACACACACGCAACGTTGTGCGTTGCCCTCAAGGTAATCGTCGTCCGATTCCAACTCGAACTGCGAATCGCAGTCGAATTATTTCTGTTTACCTCAAAGCTGATCAACTGAGTACTCGCCTCTCTCTCTCTCTCTCTCTCTCTCTCTCTCAGCTTCTCTCTCTCCCCCTACCACATTTTCTCTTATGTTTCTCCGTCTGTCTGTGTGTTTACCTCATTGACTGCAAAGTTGTGGACTGCCGCACAATTGAATCGCTCCGGCCCATAAATGTCTTTATTATAAGCCAACTGCTTTTGGCCAATTTGTGGTCTCAACTACCTTCCGCTCTTCTTCCACTGCCTCTTCTCTTACTTCATCTTCTTCTTCTGCTTGATTCTAACCGTTAAATTCGGTAACTCTTTCTATGCCCACGAGTATCAAGTTTTAAATGAACTTGAGACTTAAGCCATAAAAATGGGATGAATAATAAAAATAAAATTATATTATTTATGAACTTGCATTCAACAATTTAATAAAATATTGATTATGTGAAAACTTAAATATAATGTAGTTATATTATATCACATAGCGCCAAGAGGAAATATTTAAATATGCTTCAACATATGTTATACGTATTCCATAGGTAAGAGTTGCTCTCTCTGCCTCTCTGTATCTCATTGCCACACAATGTCTTCCGCCCATTCTCTCCATTTCTCTCATTACATCTCTCTCACCGATATATATTTATAGACATTAGTTTATGCTCTTTAAGTATTCCATATATTATGCTTATTAATAATTAAGTTGTTACGGAAATATATCTGAATTTATTATTTATTATTTTTATGTAGAGATACTTGAAAAGATTTAATAAATCAAGTTATTATAATAATATTATTAAATAATATTATTATTATATAATAAAAACAATATTAATCTTAATATGGCCGATTTATTAGTTATGTATACTAAGCTTTTAATTTTTTATTTACTTCTTATTTTTATTTATTTATAATTATTTGTATATAGAAACTTCGTTAAAAATTTTTACAAATAAATCGAGAATATAATAATATTATTGTTTAATAAAAAAATAAAAGAATTATTATTGCAGATTTATTATTAATATAATATTTATTATTTTTGTATAAAAAATTTCTTAAAAGAAATTCTTTAAAAATAATTCAAAAATATTAATTATTTAAAACTAATACAAAACTTAAATAAAAATAGTATTATTAATTCCATCTTTTGGAGAATCTCACACATTTAAGTGTTCCACAAACTATGTTACATAAAAAATTCATAATTAATAATTTAATAAATATTTTAAAACTCAGTTTCATTCCATTTATTGCGATTTTAAATTGATTTATGATTATTATACATATTAAATTTATTAAATGATTTAAAATAAAATTTGTTAAAATTGATATATAATTATTATTATATATTTTAAATTGATTTAATAATTTTTATAATTTATTAATATAATATATAATAATAATAATATTAATATTTTAATATTTTTTATATAATTTGTTAGCAATATTTCTTTTATATAAATTTATTTATATTTTAAGCACCCCATGATTATTTTACACCTCCCTCAAATCACTTCAATGAAAGCATTTTTGGCTGTGCTTCTATTGTGGACTATGAATATATGTATATATGTATATATATGTATATATATTCTAGCCTTAAGTAGCTTCAAGCTGACCCCAATTTCGAGCGGCATATGATGCATTCGTTTAATTTAAGAGATTACAGCTAGCCACGGCAATGCCTGAGCTGAGCAGAGTTTACAATAACTGTGCCAAAGTGCAAAATGCGCAACACCCACAAAACACCCAATTTCAGACACCACCAACAACAACAGCAACAACAACAACAACAATAGTAGCAACAACAACTGCATTAAATTGCCCGATGCAGCGAATGGAGGCACAACAATTTCTTTAAACACAGAGCCCGGTCAAGCCAGCAACAACTTTGAGGCAGAAGTAATAGAAAAGGATTCGGACGCCATTGAGCACCCGAATTTGCAATTTTCGAGTTAGGCTTCGCTTCGTCTTGGCCAGCCAAACGGCCCAGCAAATGGTGGGCGAGCAAATTATAGCCTTGCTGTTGCCAACGAGGCTAGCCAAAATCCAAAAGTTAGTCTCTCTCTTTTCTTTTTCTTTGTTTTGTTTTGCTTTGCTTTGTTTTTTGGGCCACGAAGTTGTCGGCGTCTCTTTAACACTTAACACGTCAACGGAGCAGCGCTCGTCAGCGATGGTTTCTTTGTTCTTCTGCTTGGCCGGTTAGTTCCCATCGATCCAAAACAAGAATCGTAATGGAAACAATGTTACGGTGTTTTTCCCTTAACTGACATGATTACCTCCATCGCGAACGAACGGACGGATGGACAGGCAGACCATATACATGCATAGCTGAGATTGCGAATGATTGTGCTCGTTGCGGTCGAGGCACTTGCCTCGCTATCGATTATTATCTATTTTGGCAGATATCGATCGTGATCGATCTGGGGCTGCCGCTGCCGCTGCTGCTGCTGCTGCACCATTGCAAAAGGTTAAGAAGTAAGTGTATCTGGCTGAAGTCTCAGCCAGTTGCGCTTCAGTGCCGGCAGCATGCGTGCTCCGAAGGAGTCCGATGTGCAGTCCACGCCTGCCTCCAGCCCATTGCACAAACATTTCCATTGCCATTCGTGGAGTTGTTAATGTGGCAAATGCAACAACAGCTCCACATACCCAGGCTCCTATGCATGTCTGCATTCATGTTGCTGCCTCTCAGCATTTTGCCAGTTGGACTCCAACTCGGTGAAGCTACAAAGATTCATTCCAATTGCATCAGCTCCAAAATTCATTATAAAGCTTCATAATTTCTTATATATATTCATTTAAAATATCTCTAAAATAATAAATATTTAAAGCAATTTGTTTAGTGGTTAAATGATTTTTGGAAATTTTTTTTGTATGTATTTTAAATATTTTTTTTATCACATTAATTGTATTTTACTTAAATGTTTTTTAATATATATGTGAAATATTTTTGATGAATTAAAAAAAAAAAATATATATATATTTAAAAGTATATATAATAGTATATTCTAAGATATATACTATACAATATATTTATTATGAAAATTAAGCATCTTTTTTAATTGTTATTTATTTACTTTACATTTCTTAAAATAAAAAATATGCTGAACTATTTAATTTTGAGTACTAACAAAATATTTAGATACTACAGCTTCATTATGCAATTTTAAAAAATTATTTGTAAGTGCTTTATTTTTTTTTTATTTTTATTTTAATAATTGACTATTTAATATTTATTGACGACCATGTAATTTTATTTATATATATTTTTTATTTTTAAATATTTTTTTATATATCTTTATTTTTTTATATTTAAAACAAGGTATTTTTTTTTTTTTTTTTTAATAATTGACTATTTAATATTTATTGGCGACCATGTAATTTTATTTATATATTTTTTATTTTTAAATATTTTTATTTATTTATTTTTTATATTTGATGTTTGGTAAAAAATGTAATTTCGAATTTGTAAAAATTTCATACTGCAACTTTGTTATTATTAAAAAAAAAAAAATGCATTAATATATAATATATAATATTTTACAAAATGTTTTTAATAATAATTTTTTAACATTTAATTTTGAAATGTTTAAAACTGCATACGTAAATTTATAATTACAATATTTACTTACACTTACTTTATTTAAGTGCCAAATTGCTATTAGGTATTATACATAAAAATATGGGAAAATTCATTGGACTATTTATCATTATTGAAAATTTTCTTTTCTCTGTTTTTTTCATTCCTACATACCAGAGCTCATAAATTTCATATTCATGCACATACGCAAATTTTCATATGAACAAATATCAAAACAAACAATCGATATCGTATGTATAAATAATCGATATAGAATAATAATATCTGAGTAGGCTTTGCTCCACTGCTTTCGAGGCGAGCTTTTGGATCGTTGACTTTTGTGAGATTTAGTTTTTCGAAGCATCAACAACATTAACAATCGTGCCTGATTTTAAGCGTATCGACTTGTTTTAGGAAAATTTCCCGTTTTTATGTCAAAGTTATTTTGAAAGTAAAAAAAGAAAAAACGTAAAAAAAAGAGAGAAACACGACCAATTTCCGCTGGGTTAGGTGCTGGATCTGCTGGGAAAGACTTGAGGCCACTATCGTCCAACAATGCCCGTCGAGGAGAAGGTGTTCTTTGAGGACCAGCCCGGAAGGAAGTTCGATCGGTGCATGGCCAATGGCATTGTCAAGGGCGGCGGCGGCTTTGTCGTGGGCGCTGTCATATCCCTATTATTTCTGCGTCGGCGCGTTTGGCCGATCTTGCTTGGCACTGGATTCGGCTTTGGGGTGGCCTACAAGACGTGCGAAAAGGATTTGGAGTCGTTCAAGTAAACTCTTCAAGGGATTCTCAAGATTCACAAAATTCAACAATGCAAGCACACACACACACGAACACGCACACACACACACATATACAAAACTTTGGCTGTGTACATAACTATGGCATTCTATATGTAAAGAGATACATATATAGACAGAGAAACAGAACAAGAGCAAACGCGTGCAACGAAGGCGAAGGCAAAGGCGATGGCTACGGCGATGGCGATGGCGATGGCTACGGCAAGGGAGCGACAGCGGGAGAGGGCGAGCGTGAGCGAGAGCGAGAAGATGAGCAAGCAAGCATGTCACTCACAGCATCTCTGCACTGTCAGCCATCTAAGTTTTATGTTGTAGCTGTTACTTGTTGGACTGCCAATTAAAATTCAATAAAAAAATACATGCAATTCCAATGAAAATGATGCGCGCTCTTATCACAAAATGGGAAATCAGCGAATCGGGGCATGACTAGAAGCAATCAGTACGAGTTCCATGTAAAACAGTATCAGCAAGATCCGCACAGGGAGCGAGAGAGAGAGAGAGAGGGAGAGAGGGAGAGACTGAGAGAGAGAGAGCTGAAAGAGAGTCGCTGCGCATGGGGCAAGTTAAAAATCTTTGGCCGGGTCAGCAACAAAGTCAAGTGCAGCGAGACGTGGCACAGCCAAAGCGAGTTGCCTGCCTGACTCAAGGAGCTCACGTTTCGGCTGCAGTAGCTGGCTGCCTCATGTTGCATGCAACCTGGTGCCGAGGCTCGTTTGCCCGTCACATAATCTGCTCCAAATCAAAATTGCTTATTAAACGTGGAGCTGTGGATAGCTGCAGCTCTCGCTGCGCCTACAGCGTCTCTCGCTCTCGCTCTCGCTCTGCGCCTCTCACTCTCTCTCTCTCTCTCACTCTAGCTCATGTGCGTTGTGGGCGCCCGCAGCTGGCATGGACATGGCTCTGGCTCTGACTCTGACTCTGACTCTGTGGACTTGCGTAGCGCCCAAAACGAATCTGTCGCCGCATCGCCAGTTGCAATGTGCCACGAAAATTGCTGCCGAATTCTGTTGCACAGTTGATCACGATTGCCTGGTTCGCGGGCCTCAATAAGCCAAACATCTTGATACGGATGCGGCGCTACAGGCTGCACATTGATCGACGATGACGACGACGACGACGACGACGACGACGACGTGCAAAGCTGCCAATGAACCGATACCAGCCGCTGGCTAACAATATCTACCGCCCTCTCTCCCTCTACCTCTCCCTCCCTCTCTCTCGCTCTGGCAATTTCTACGTTTGCCCTCTGAACTCGATTGCATTTTGTATATATTATAATTGCCGGCCACGGCTCTGGCGCGTTATCTCTGAGAGAGTCAGCCTGCCAGCCTGACAGTGCCTGGTCACTCAGTCACTCTAGCCTGGTCGATGGCCCATGCAGATAGAGGAGACTGGCCGAGTGCTCCGCTTCCATTCGATGCGCTGCCCATTTCTCGTATCGCTGATCGGCGGCGAGCGCAGTGCTCCGATTCGGATGCCACTTTCCAGGAAGCGGCAAATGGCCAAGCGCACAGAACTTGTCGCATTAGCACCACGTTGTGTAGCTGAAATTAATGCGATTGCTGATTGCATTTATGCTCGCCCCGAATAACGAATAACAAACGCGATGCGATGCGATGCGATGCGATGGCCGATGGCCGATGGCTCTCGATGGCTTTCGATGGCAGGCCTTGTCGATGCATGAAAGCGCAGCTCAACTGGCTGCAGATAGATCAGAGATTCGCCATATATGGACCTCTATATATATATAGACATCATCTATGGACACTTTCGCGAGTCTTTAGCAAGCTGTGCCAAATGCTAAGCGATTCGGTGCTCACATAACTCAAGTCCGAGTGCTGCCCATTTGTGCTTTTATTTGGGACAGTGCTGCCCATTTCACTGGCAGCTGGCGTAGATCAAACTGCATTGCGATTTATGGCATCTTTCCCGAAATTGTTGTTATTATTTGTTATTCTGTCGGACAATTAAGTGGAGCTATTTGGTTCCAAAGGGCATATCGAGCATGTTTAACAGACTGAAGCACTAGATATTGATAAAGTACTGCATCTATACTTATAGATATACTTATATAGACTACTGATAATGCATAATTCCATATTGATACGCTATGCCACATAAAAAATCGAATCCTTGGAGCTGTGACAATGCTTAGAAGAAGCTTCACTATCAAGGGAAGAGCATTATCGTTGCCTTTCCTTTCCAGCTGTCGATGCAACTATAATCATATAATCACTCTAAGTTCCTAGATTTTCAAGCCTAGTTCGTAGATCGTAAGCCCCAACGAATAGCTGAGCTGAGCAGGGTATTTGCTCGTCAGTCATTGCCGACTCTTGCGTCTGCTTTGTGAGCGCCAAGCTCCAGTTACCAAATTGCAAAATGACGACAACATGTGTTTGATTTTGATGGGTTGCTCGCTGAGCTGAGCTGAGCTGAGCTGAGCTGAGCTGGCCTCGCTCTCATGGAAAAGCTGCAAACGATCTTGGCAAAAAAAAAGCGCAAGCAGTTACTACGACAACAACAACAACCACAGCAGCGGCGGCAGCAGCAGCAGCAATAGAAAAATGGAAAGGTTCCCAAGAAAATTTAGATCAATTTTCCTAATTTACTTGAGCGCAGCGATTGCGTGTCGTGGCGTGAAAAACGGCACTTGAAAATTCCTACAGCGCCTGCAAAGGAATCGCAGTTGCTGCCCGACTGCCAAAAGGGAGTTGAAAAGAAGAGCCAAACCAACAGAGAGAGAGAGAGAGCGACGAGCAAAAGAAAGAAAAAATATAAATCACGACTCAAGTTTCGAAAGCGCGAAACTGTTACCAAAGCACTTAAACTTAAATTGGCCAGCGACGACGACGACGACGACGATGACGACGACGTCGACTAAGGTAACAGAGTAAACCGAGCCACAGATTCAGCAACTGCAACTGCAACTGGGAGCGCAGCTCAGCTGAGCTGAGCAGAGGCAAAAGGCTAAATTAGAAATAGTGTAGATAGATACGCCAATAGAATTTATAGCGGCTGCGCGTAGCCTGCGTCGCCATGATCATGCGGCATGAGCCTGCACCGCCATCACCTGCAGCACCACCAAACCACCAAGCCAACTCTAGCTGCGACTGTGGCTGCGGCTGTGGCTGTGCCCGGGCAGGTTAATTTTGGGCACGACGCCCAATGATGACGATGATGATGGCAACGCACGAAGCGCGGCCTGCCTTGGTCATGAACAGCGTGTAGAGCGTGTAGAGCGTGCACAGTCGCTGCTTAAGTTTAATGGAACCAATTGAAGATATTTTGTGGCCAAGTGATAAAGTTGTATGCCCAGTTGGTGGTGGTGGTGTTGTTGTTGTTGTTGTTGTTGTTGTTGTTGGTGGGTGCCGAGCCCAGCCAGCTAGCCAGCTAGCCAGTTAGATAGGAAGCGGAGCAGCGTTTGTTCATCAACAGCTTCGCTGGCCATCAGCTGAGTGGGCCTCACCACGATCATCCATTAAATGATGCGTAAGCGTAAACGTGATCATGCGTTTGCCTGCCTGGACTGCCTCTACTGCCTCTACTGCCTGGCTGCCACACTAGATCACACGATCTTGATACACAATGGTTCTACACAGTGAGGGATCGTGAAAGAATTACTAAGTCGGATATCGGTAAACTACGACTTTGACTTTGACTTCGTTCTTTGGGGCTCGGTCGTCGTCGTCGGACTGCGGACTGCGGACTGCGGACTTCAGGTCTGAAATGTAACCGAGTTATGTGAAAATTGCTAAAGAATTTTCGTGCCTAGCTAAGGCTGCTGCGAGTGGGAGAAAGAGACAGCATGAGAGAGTTGAAGAGTCCAAGAAAACTTTCAGCGAGCATCAAGCAATTAAAATAGCTCGAGGCAAATATTTGCAGGCGTTCGATATTTATTGTAGAACTTAAATACTTAAGTAAATTATTATAATAAAATATTTAATAAAATATGTATATTTTTGAATGAGGAAAAAGGTGTAAATTATAGATATTTGAATTTAATTATGATATAATATAATATAATACAATATAATATAATATAATAAAATATAATAATATAATATAATATAATATAATATAATATAATATAATATAATATAATATAATACTAATAATTATAACACAATAAATAAATATAGGTGGGAAATTAATATTTATCGATATTAGCAGAATCCTTAACTATAAAAGTAAGTGCAAGCGATCTATAGTTATAGATTTATCTTACTCCATCCATATTACTTTAATTAACGTGAAACGTTACGACTTATGTATCTATAATAAACAAATGTTAATGAGCAAACGATACTTATCGATACTTGCACTATAAATAATATTTATTGATATTTCGAATGCTATCCTTAAAAAGAAAAGCAGAGCAAGCCATGGACACTTATATGAGCAATACCATGTAAATTACAGAAATCGATATTTAAAGAATAAGGAATTGTGATCGATATTCATAAGGCTTGAGGAAAAACCAAGTGCAAATGATTGATATCTATAAAAGTTTTGCATATAAAATGTATATATTATATATGTCGCCTTTCATAGAAATATTATATATTTGTCAATTCAACTAAATCAAGATATTAAAACATATGTATATGTAAAATATATCTAGATATTTAAATATATCTAATAATTTCTTGAGCCCTGGCAAGACATTAAAAAACTAATTTAATGACTTTTGGTAACATTTTGCATATCGATCAATAAAAATCGCACTTTAATTAAAGCAAAACTTCATTAAACGTAATTTAAAGAAAAATAAAATAAAAATTAATCAAAAATTCAATATTTTACATATAAATTTTGCTTTGACTTTGAGCTGTCTTATTTTTATTTCAAAACTTTTACCAGAATATAAATAGATCATATTCATACAACATTTGCAAAGACTGTCTTTGATAGTCATAGCTCGATAAAATTCTTGAATATATATTTCATTTTTCACTTATTATTTTTTGCACAAACTTGATTTCAAAGGAAGTTTTTACTCGATTCTCTGCTAATTTCAAAAGTTGATTTCAATAGGGTCTTTCAGGGCGAACCTAATCGATAATTTCTTAATTAAATTTCGTGCGGCCATGGAGCGAGTGAGTGGGCTACTGGTTCCGCTCGGAGACAATTGGGATTGGCTTCTGGTTCGGCTAAAATGCAAAATGCCTGACCTTACGCAAAAGCCATTTTGTGAGAGGCGGCGACGTCGCTGCTGACGCAGACGCTGACGCTGACGCAGACGCTTCCGCTGCTGTCGCCAATCAATCAAACGGACGTCGACGTCTTGCTGTTGTTGTTGTTGTTGTTGTTGCGGCTTTTATTTATTTTGGCTCATTTTTACGCTTTATGCACTGCGCACTGGGCCGCAATT